TACTTATGAAGGATAAGTGGGCAGTGAAATATCCTGACAAGGAAACAAAAAAAATATGGAAATCCTTGGTTAAATCCTTAGAGGTTTCCAAAAATAGAAGCTATTCCTTTGAGATTTGGCAAAGCAGAAGCCTAACCAGGTCACTGCTGCTTGAGAAGGTAAAGGCGGAGATATGAGCAGAAAAAGATGCCATTACTACAGCTCAAAAACATCCAACACCATCTGTACTGTTGTGCTTCTACGTACAGAGACAGCCCCTGAGCAGTGACCTGGTCTTTATCACTCATATATTTTAGAAGCAGCTGTGCAAAGTATCAGAGAAAAGAGACATGAGAATCAGCAGAGAGCATGTATGTTGGTGTGAATTATCTATGTCACTGTGTATATAGATTTCTTTACAGATGGACAGGCAGGACCCACAGTATGTCCAATTTTTGTGACAGTTCTGTATATGCAAATATTGTATATATATACAGTAACTGTCAGAAGGTTACGATGCCCAATTTTTTCAGAAGACTTCTATAGAACAGAAATACTGTATGCAGTGGCGTAACAACCGGGGGTGCGGGGGGGTCACTTGCCCCGGGCGCAGGACTGAGGGGGGGCGCCGTCACGACCCCCGCTAAACGAAGCCATGGCTCCCTCTCCCTGACACGATCACCTGGCTGTCATCGGGCGGCCGCTCGCTCTTCCGAGGCCACTGCGGGCGGCCCTCTACATTGCCTGATTGGAGGGCGCGTCTGCCTGATCCAGCCAGCCAGCCCGGATCGCATAGCGTTATGTGTGGGGGTACAGTTCTAGTGGATGTTTATATAATATGGGGGGGGGGCGAAAAAAATGTTCTGCCCCGGGCGCCCATAACTCTGGTTTTGCCACTGACTGTATGCCCCTTTCACACAAGCATCATCAGTTCAGTCAAGGTTCATAGATACAAAAAAACTGATGAAAACTGAATCAGTTGACATCAGCTTACAAATCCGTTCAGTTTATATCAGGTTTTTTTTGGTTATTTTATTTTGGTAAATTTCAATGATTTTTTTTGCTTTTCCCCCAGCATGCATTGAGCTTGCCATGCTGTATTATGACACCAGTCCCAATCATCAGTTTATATTAGGTTACATCAGTCAAAATGGAGAGGTGATCCGTCTCAAATTAAGGACCACAACCGACACTGATGTTTCCTGATGTAAACTGATGGTCATCAGTTTTCATCTGCTCTGCCATAGAGACACATTGTTGTCCATTTTTCATCTGAAAACGGAGGGTTGGAAACCTGACAACCTGAATGCTTGTGTGAAAGGGGCCTAAGAAAACATGAAGTGGAACTGGACTCAAATAGTGAAGATATTCTAATCAGGAAAATTTAATAAAGTTCATTGTGTCTAAATAGTACCCTGAATGTACCCTTTGTCTTAAATTCCTCCTCAAAAATAGCAGTTCACTTCCTAGTATGTGAGTGTGGATCAGCGCTCCTGTGCCTACAGTCTCATAGCTGTATATGTGTAGTGGTAAAACTAAGGCACTACTGCCACTGATTTCTAGTATTCGTAGTTCTGGAGTGAAATTTGGTATTGTCACTACTGTGCTGCTCAGTGCTGTTCTTGCTGGAGGCTGCAAGATGACAAACCAAAGACCTGTCTCAACCAAGATGGCCACCTCCACACAGAGACCCAGTGCAAAACAGACATGGTAAGTCATTAATGGGGAAAATATCAGCTGCAGGGAAATTACAGGCAACACTGGGCACTAATCCTTTGCCCTGTACCTACCTTTTTTGGCATAGCTATCAGACTTCAGTTCCTCTTTAAAAGAGTAGTGTGCTGTCCCCTAAAACTATGCTGCCCATTTACCAAATACAGGGTTTTATGGCAGAAATACTGTCTAAGAGCTGCACTGAGTTCTTTACATGTTTGTGAGTAACCGTACACGCGCAGGTTTTTCATTATTGTTTTTAGAACCAAAACATACGGAAAGGAATTTATCAAGGCCAATGCAGGGAACAATACTTGCGGTTACTGTCAGAAGACTTGCATGGAATGTATAACAGCATTTCATGGTACATTAATTTTCAGCCCCTGGCATTGCTTTCTTGGTGTCTGGGCTTTCACTGCCAACAACAATGGTAAGTTAAAGCATTTTCAAAAATCTTCCTGACCTCTGACCAATATCCAGTTTGTTAACCCTGACCTTAAAACCAAACTTTAACCCTTAATGTAAGCATTAAAATAAACACCTAAAATGTACCCTTACAAGTCATTTAGCTCTTAAAGGAGAACTGTAGTATTTTTAGATATACAGTGAAAGTAACTAATCTTAGAGAAACAATCCTATTGATATTTGTTAATGTAATAAATACTTTGTTGTTACGAATAGTTTGTTCTCATTTATCTAAATGTTGCAGCGTGTTTGATCAAATTATATTCTTTTCCTGATTTAAAATAACAGTATCTGTGCATCATCGGTAATTTACATGAATTTTTGTTTGTGGACATATTTTCGTTACAGCATAGTGACATTAGAGAGGGGGAATTTCTTTTCTTCTTAAATGTCACTTTGCTGCAACGAAACGACAACGCAGCGAACGTTCGTAATGACTACCACTAACAAATTTCGTCTGATTCCGAATCCCGAAAGAAATTGTCATCCTGACTCAAATCCCAAAAAACTAAATAACACAAAATCAAAATCAAAACGAAACTAAACAAATTTTTTGCCTGTGTACATGTCTATTTAACAGTGATAAACCCCCTAATAAGTGTGTCTAACCCCAAAAACAAAATGTAATATATTGAAGCTTACCAGTAACTAGATGTACTTAACTTAATCTTTTTTCAGGTTTTTTAATCTTTACTTTCACCTTCCATTAACACACTCCTTTTCCTATGGTGACAATGCTAACTCACTCTGTACATCTGTGGAGGAGCACCATTGCCATCTTTGGCATCTTTCAGACAACAGGGTGAAATAACACCTCAACCTTCAGTCCTTCACCTCCTCTCACAATGTTGAGCACCACTAACTACTGATCTGGCAGGAAAGTCACTTTATATGTAATATTTTTGAAATTACATTTTTCATTTCTATTTCTGTGTGCCCAATTAGTATTACATGCTTTTGTCCATTTTATTAGCACATGAACTAGAGCTGGTCCTATGCATACCTAGAATTGCTGCATAACAGGTAAACTGCAAGGTTAGCATTACATTTCTAGAACCTGGTGCAACATAAACTTTGTCACTCATTAGTTGTAACTCATAGGCAGATATATTTTCTGCACAGGCGAGAATTAAAATAATATAATACTGTCTCAGCCACCCTCGCTTTATCTTATTCTGGGTTTCTGGTGTAAAGAGAGAACCAGTGGCGTAACAATCGCTATAGCGACCCAGGCGGCCGCTATGGGGCCCGGGCACAGGGGGTCCCGGCCAGGGCATCCCTCTGATGTCGTGTGGGCCGCCTGGGTCGCTATTGCATGTAAGGGTGCTGGCTGTCACTGGCACAGCTCAGCCGCGGCGTTTCCCCTCACAGTCGCTGCAGAGCTGTGTCAGTTACAGCCAGCAGCTACGGCAGAAGAGGCCAGCGTTCGCAGTGAAGGAGGAGGCGGGGCCAGCCTAAGAGCAACCCCGCCTCCTCTTACATCACTGGCCAGCGACCTAAGAGCAGGTGGGAACAGTGATGTAAGAGGAGGTGGGCCCGTCGATAGAAGAGGAGGCTGGGCCTGGGGACGGAAGAGGAGGCGGGGCCCGGGGTGATGTAAGAGGAGGCGGGCCCGTCGATAGAAGAGGAGGCTGGGCCTGGGGACGGAAGAGGAGGCGGGGCCCGGCGACCACGGAGGCGGACAGCGCTGACAGGTAAGAGGTGTGCAGCCCATTTGAGACCCTGCAGATCCCACTACAGAGAGTCTATGGTGGGCTCTGCAGGGCCACTCTCAGGTGGGCTGTTTGGTAGATCAGGTGGGCTCTGCAAGTGGCATAACAATCACAGGGCCCCATACAACATTTTGCTATGGGGCCCTGTGATTTCTAGTTACGCCCCTGTAGAGAACTATATATTCTAGTGGGCATCAAAGAAAATAAATAGGGGAGTATTATAGGCCAGAAGCCACTAATGCTACAATGGGTTAAAACGTTGCTTGACAAGACACTATCTAAAATTGAAAAAGGATAATTTTAACATAGGTTGCTGACCACCAGTAAAAAAAGGGGCAGTAATACTAAATGAAGTGCACAGTTTGCTGACCACAGGTTTAAATGGGGCAGCATTAGGCCACTAATCATTAGTGTGAAAAGGGGCACTTCATGGAATCAACTTACTAAAGGAGTAGAGGCTGTTCAGCTAGCAATTTAAAACAATTACTTACACAGTCTTTATCTTTAGCAAACCAACCCCGTTGTGTTCAGTGGGTCAGCGTTACAAAATGCCAGAGAAAAGAAGGGACTGTGAGGGATTCCATCAAACTTTCACAAAATGCAGGCACAACTAATCTCTGTTGTGCTTCAGTGAGCTACTAATACATAACCAGCAATAAAGGGCTGTTTTATTAAGGATCCATTTTCATCCTAGTATGTTTTCTCTTCAAAAACCCAAATTAGATGCAGAAATTTCCCTCAGTCCTAAATCTCTCAGCATTACATCAGTAAGAGAATTGCTTAAATTCATATGGTCAGTCCTCCCAAACCAAAAACAAAATCCACACAAAACTACATTTAGATATTGTAGCAGCTCGTTCTATATGCAGATTGTCTTTTAGACTGAATTTCTTTGATGACGTCCTTCAAAATATATTTTTATTCCATATAAAAAGACGGATCTGTATTTCAGCACACAAAGCAACAGCTGCTGTGTTTATGGCTATGAAAAGTAACAATATTTTTAATGCTGGAATCACACTGCTGTGCAGTTGATGCATTCTCATAATCTAAATATTCTTGTTCTAGTATGTACATCTCAGAATTATAATTGATTTCATTATATAGACTCAATAAATTGGGGTCACTTACCCTCACAAAGCTGGCAGGAAACCATCCTTCCTCTTCATCAATCTGACCCCACCACCAATCCTTGTTGGAAGCATCTAGGACTTTGATGACGTCGCCGGCTTTAAACGCCAACTCCCGGTTGGCCATGGTGACGTGATCCCATGCTGCCTCAGCACTTACAATAGATCCACCGCTGATTAGCTGTATAGAATAAAGAGGAAAACACTGTTAGTCCTATTAAGTCATATGAGTTGCTGCGAATAAACAAGATGATCACAGTCCAGTACACAGAAAAGACGACTAACAGAATACAAAAACTCTAGACAGAAGACACATAATGGATGATTGAAGCAGCGGCACTGCCCAGCCTAATCTAATCTGCACCACCACAATCCCAAACTGCCTGTACTCTAACCCAAACATGGTATTACAAACAGTACATTCACTGACGCTGTGCAAAACAAAACACACTAAGGTGCATTAAAACTGGAGTAAAGTGTCTCTGTTTCAAAGGCTATCAGACATCTATTTGATGAATCACACATTGCTCTTAACAAACAAACGTTAGCCATTTTAACATTGATCGAGCTATTAAAAATGACCCGTGTACCTCTATTTTAAACCTAAGACTTCACGGATGAATAAATCTCTTCAATGCTGCAATATTTAAAAAGCGTGAGTAGCCATACATTGTTTTTTGTTTTAGGAGTGGTAAAGGTTTAGAACTCTTGTTAAGTTTTTATTACTGTCCTCTCCTGGTAGATTCACACTCTGTTTGTCCAGATGACCATTATTCTTTTACAAATGTCACCAGACCAAGACAGGAGGATAAATCTTCTAATATGAACAACTGTTCTGATGACAACTGTTTACAGGGGAATTCTCACTTTTGGAGAGATTTCCTCTCATGTCCTGTTCCATCTCCAGTAAAGGGAGTGAAGAGAAATCTACTCAGGAAACAGAGAGCAAAAAAACAATAAACTGCCAGGGGTTTAACCTTTCCTTACGCTATCCAAAACTTAAACATTGATTTTGGTATGCTGCAAAAAAAGTAGTTAGTTAAATCTCTCAATAGCAGAGATTTCTAATTGGCTGTGCAGCCCTAGTTTAAAGTGGCCCTTGATGTAAAATGCAAGGTCTGCTTATACTGTTCAGGCCCCCTTTCCATATAAAAGCAGGTGTTAGTGGGTGTAAAAGTTAAAGAAACAAAGTTAGATTTATACTTACCTTACCCCCTCCATCTTCTGCCCACAGCACCAGGGCAAGCAAAATGTCACACTCCATCCAGGTAGATTCAAAGCATCTGAAATCTTGTGCGAAGACACTCTGGCAATGAATTGGAGTGTCTTCCTGTCCTCCCCAAAGGACGGCAATGTCACCTCCAGCAATGTGGAAGATGAGGGGTAAGGTAAGTATAAAATCTAACTTTTTTCTTTACATGTAACTTTTACAACCGCTAACAGCAGGTGGTTTTTGCAGAGGGCCCAGACAGTGTATGTGGACCTTGCATTATTCTGCAAGGTCTGCTTTAAAATAGAAAGAATATGTACTGCTGACTGATGTTCTTTTTTAGTGCTGCTGCCGAAACTGATTACAGTAACTAGATTCAGGAGGCCAGTATAACTAGTACGATTGAACTAATTAAAAATAGTTTTACTACAAACAAAAGACATAAAAACATTTGTTTACACCATAATCGCCTTTGCACAAACAGTTCTTTTCTCTTCTACACCCTGGCAAGACTGTAAGCACATCAGCTATCCCTAATTGAAGGCACACATTAAAATGATATATAAATTAGTTGGTAAACAAGTTACATCGCACAATAGCAAAATGTCACCAAAAATCCGAATAAAGGTCACAGTAATTTGCAAAGCAGGAACAATTAACTATTTTTATTTGCTATTACATATTATTTTGACCTGATTTATAAAAACTGGTTGAATGAAAAGTCAGGCTTTAGGGAAGGAGTGTAAAGAAGGACAAATGTTAAGAGTTAAGCAATGTTTAGGGATGAGGTTCAAGTTTGCCTTAACCTTGGATTTAAGGCAGATTTTGCGTTTTTTGTTTGGAACGATTACCAAACTAATAAGCAAGAAGTTTGCATGTTTGCACCAGCAATTAGGAACAACCTATAATGCACTGTTTAGCCTTTGCTGCCCCCTCGCTATAAACAGGGTGAGCTCATAGCAGCCATATTGTCAGTGTGCTTTGGAGCTGTTGGGAAGAGCTGACAATTCTTTGTAGGAATATATAATATGCTGTACTGTGCTTTGCTGTGGATTACAGGACTAGGCTACATATCTTTTGGTACCCAGTTCCATAACACCCCCTCACAGCTTTATCATTATGTAGTTTGATCATCACTAGCACTGTTCACTTTGAATACCCAGCCATATTCAGAGGAATAAAATAACACATTTTTTAATTGCACGTGATTGAATGATTAACTATAACACAGCTTAAACTGTATTCATTTAGCTAAGTGAACATTCTCAACTCTTTTATTAAATGACCCCATTGACTTTGCTGCAATGGTCTATACATATCCCACTGGTTTATATAATGAACTTAGTAGTGTTTATACTTGACAGTAGTACATTTAATACAGCAGTAATTCTTCACCAGTTATATGCCCTCCATCTATTTATGACCTCAATACCCGTTATAAGATTTATAATAGAAATTATATGTCCAAATCGGTAAGCAAATAAAAAACTGCTTCTCCCTGACTACCATCCATAACATTTAGACTATTGAACATTCATGAAGGCCATTTCCTTGCCACTATAATCTATCCCTAAAGTGTATGTGTTGCCAATTTTGTTTTCTTCTTCTTCATTAAAGCAGGGAAGGGTTAAAACTCCTTGCTGTTATTTTTTTGGTATCCTGCTTGAGAGATTTCCTTTCACTTTTTGTCCTGGAGACACAAAAGAATATAAGGAATTCTCTACCTACCAAGGGAATACCCAACTTAGGCATTGCAGAATAGGACACTTTAGTACGTGTAGTCCTTTTTTAAATTACATTTTGCCCTACAACACTTCCAGATGCTGAATCCGGTTCATCCCTCATGAGCTTTGCCACTTGATACTAGATTAAAGCTGAACTCCAGCCTTACCTTTAGTATTGCACAGTTGTACAGGCTCCCCTCTTGTAATGTAATTGCCTACTCTGATTTCACTGCACACTGAATTTCTCACAGTGTGTATTAGAAGCTGCAGCAAGTCAGAAAGAGCCGATAGGTGTGCACACAGGGTGTGCTCAGTGTGCCTGGGCACACCCTGATGCAATAGGCTGTGTACACCTATGATAGAGCATCATTTCCTGGTAGGAGCATATCCAGCATAATCTAGCTCTTTCTTCCCAGGTCTTACTGTCCTTAGCCCATCCCTTTCTTTCATTGGATTGTGTTCTTTGAATCATGCAGGCTCAGCATTACATGTGAGCATTACTTATGTCAGTCTGCATGCAAATACAGCGTGCATAGGAATGGCAACTTCTGCAGACAGACATTCAGCCATTTGATATGTGCATAACTTGTCCCAACAGCCAGCTCACTTCTTAAATGAGGGCTGAGAGCTCTTCAGAGGAGTACTGGGTCAGGGTGCTGTGACGTTTTCAGGAAGCAGTTTACAGCTCCCTGCCAGTCCCTTGCAGCAGATATAATCTGCCTGCATTGCATACAGAGGCACAAAGACCCAGTGACGGCCATTCCCATTGCACCTTTCCTGCTTTAATAACATGAACATGAATTCTGATTGCTTACTGTGAGTAACTTAACTTTGCACATTTCTCCTTGTAATGTTTACTGAATAAGCACAAAACATTCCAGTTTTCAAGGATAACTAAACCCTATTCATAAAATAAAGCACTGCAAAGTACAATAGCAAGCAGTGAGATTCCACCTGTAAAAATTAGCATTGTTGCCATGCAGACAACCACTATTACGGTTTATTCCACATTGCATAAATGAGCGCCGACGAGTCTCTGATTTGTTAAAGATCAGGCATTTCCGTATTGCTTTACTGCTATGAGGTCTGCAGGTAAGTTCATGCCCTGCCCCTGCTTTGCATTTATCAGAAGAATGGCTGAGCAGAATCACAAATCTTTTGACAGCTAAACCTGTGCACAAATACATATTTCAACTGTACACTTAGTTCTTTGGTTGGGATTCAGCTTTTTAGCGACTGCAGAGGTAAACTCAGTTAGCCGTATACTGACCATTTTACATTTAAAAAAATGTAGAATAGAAAAAAAAAAATCAGAAGTTGCTTTTGGAGACATCATCCTACACTTTGTTTTCTTTTCCAGAGAATAAAAGATGAAATATGACTGGTTATCATAAGCAACTTCTAATTTCTTCATATTTCCTTACTTTTCTTTTATGAATAGTAGTAATCAGTAGGAAGCACGTCTGGAATTTTTCAAGCTTTTTTCTATACAAATAGAATCTAAAAGGGTTCACAGACACAAGGTGACAAAACACCACTACCGTGTGCAAGTGCATGACTGACACTGTCAGAGCTCTGAGCAATATACTTTAACAGGGTGGGGGCGAAAGAATCATTGACTTGCCTCCCTTCTTAAGAAAGTGTGAATGAATTTAGATGATAATGTAAGACACAATTACAGGTCGTTACACAACATATACATATATATATATACTAGGGTTGCACAGATACCAAGTACAGTACTCGGTACAAGTACGAGTACATGTACCGATACTTTTGAGCTCCAAGACTAGACTAGAGAAAAATTAAAAAATTAGGAGGCAGCTGTCATTTGTAAGGAGCACACGGAGCTCCTGGGATTTGTACATCTCTGTTTTAATGTACGATTCTGTTTTTATAAATATAATAAAGGGATGCACAGATACCAGTTTTGCGAGTACGAGTACTGGTACTTGCCGAGTACTTACAAGTACGAGTACTGATACATTTTTGTTTATTGTCATGTGACAGTTTTTCTA